GATTTGATGGTAGTCTGTAGACTATTTTGTACGGCTATCGTCGTCGGTAACAGAAACATTTGTGTAAAAATAAACTGAAGAATAAGTAAAGCAATAAAAGTGTTCACTTAACAAAATAGCTCCGATTAGACAACATCAGATGATTTGATGGACCCCACCCCACCCACCTCAATCCCCCACATTTCCGTCTCGCCCTTTCTTTTGCCCTCTTTCAGGTAGAGTGAAGAAGAGCTGTCTTTTCTTGTCCTTCTTATGTTCTTTTGTGAGCTTCTTTTTATCTGCTCTGCAAACCCCAATGAGTGGTTGGAAGGCGTTAATGATAGGTCCCACCTCTTTCCTTTCTTTCTTTCTATTGTTTCTGTCTATCTGTCTTGCTTCTTCCCTTCACTGTATGGCTAATCTTCTATTTACTCGTCAAACTCAAAACTTCTGGGTGGTTGGCCAGTGCTCTGGTGTGGTTTGCTTCTTCTTTCCTAAGAAACATCTATCGTCCTTATCTCCCCTTCTTCTCTTTAATGTTTGTTACACCTCTAATCTTCTTGCGCTCATATGACCGATGACCTTATGCAGTTACGAGCGCCGTAAAACCTCTACTGAAACTAAAACTAAAACTCAACACTTTGCGAGACCGAATTTAGCTCATTTTTTGTTTTGTTTTCCCCTGTCTCTCCAGACATCGCCCTCGACTGGTCAGACCACGCTCTCTGGTGGCCCGAGAAGAACAAGTGGCTACTCCGGGCTCGCTCCACGCTTGACCAGTACAATGTCCAGGCGGACGCGCGCCTGCAGTTCACGCCCATGCACAAGAACCTCAAGGTACAGCTGCCGGACTTACAGGTGCTGGAGCTGCGAGTGGACTTTTCCATCAAGTGTTTCGCCACCGTCGTTCAGACGTGCAAGGAATTGGGTGAGTAGTGAGAGTGAGCGCCGACACGTGTGTGATGTGTTGTGTACGTGAACGTGCGTCTCTTTTCTGTTCTGTGTTTGTGTCCGAGTTTTTAGATACAATCTTACGGCCTTTGCTGCACTGTCTCTCCGTCTCTGTCTCTTTCTCTGTATCCGTCTCTCTCTCTCTCTCTCTCTCTCTCT